AAAAGCAAAGTGTTTAATACATTTTGCTTTTATAGAAGTAATCCGTTACAAACAACGGATAGCTTGTAATCCGTTCCTTTTTCAAGTGATTTTGTAATTGCCACGTTGCTTCTTTGCGGCAGTAATTAGTAATGTAATTTTGTTACATATATTGGTAACGGATTACTTTAATTACTGGTTACTTCTTAAAAATATGAACATAATAAAGAAACTGGATCAACATGAGCAGGCAATAGACCTGTTGCAAAACGTATATGACGCCACGACGGCTGGGGATTTTGGGAACCCTCGGAACAGATCACGCGCTTTCTCGTTGCGCCTCAGCGACTGCACGCGCGTCGCGGCAGCTACCGCCAGCAGCCGTCGCAGCCATCCGCCATCCCGCCCATACGTCGGAACCTCGTACGTCGTTGGCGGCGCAGTGGCAGCGTAAACACATCGCGACAGGTGAAGGTATTCATTCCTTTGAATACGTCATTCGTGGTAACTTACCTTAACGTCATCACCGAATCCACTTATTTTGCAGCCCAAACGTGGCAGGGTTAGACTAGGTTCGACAACACGTTGGTGCAGCAGACGACGGAACCGGTACCAAGGAGAGGGATGAGAAAGGGGCAGCCTCGCAAGATAGATAACGCGATACCCACTCCCCCATTTTCGTGCGCTCGTCGCTCGTCCGACTCGGCTCGCGGCCGCTCGAACGTTGTTGCCTTGGTAACCTGCGCCTGCTCGCGTATGCCACGTGGTGGCGGGAGGAAAGACGATGGGAGCGGCGTATTGGGGACTCCCTTTATTTGTCGCGCGGCGCGCTTGGGCTTTTGGGATTTTCGCAAAGGGTCTATTCAGCAGCATAAAGATAGCAAGTTCAACAATATAGAAAACATCGTGACGAGGAGAATAACCAAAATGAAAACACGACTTTTTTTTTATGACCGGTCATTAGAACCGCTAGAAACATTTGCAAGGCATATACAAATATGCGAGAGAAAAAAAAAGATCAAGAAGACAACGCCGCGTAGGCGTTGTCTTCTTGATCTCCTAGCGAAGGTAGACGCTGGTACAGAGCAAATTCACTACTAGCTTTGTTTGCAGCATTCCAGAGATCATTTCCGGTCTCCATACGCTAACGGGATGGCGAGTGTGGTTCCAGCTTTCGTTGCCTTGTCAGCTTACAGGTGAACCGAGTGCACCTACAATCTTTCTCTTAAATACAATATTTTAGTTTTACAAGGAGTACTATACTGCGGGCGTATGAGAAATGAAAAGTAGTGTTGCAGAATATTTTTGAAAACATCAAAATGGTTTCTTTTGTTTTACGTACGGGAAAAGTAACGTGAACGTTATTTGTAACGTAACGAGTAAAGTAATCCGTTACTTTTCAGTGAAAGTAATCTGTAACGGTAATCCATTACGTTTGAGGCTCGTTAATTTGTAATTCTTATTTATTACATTCTTCAAGTAACGGGCACACGTCTAGTTTAATTGACGTGGAAGAGTAAACTGAAGCATCTAAGAGCCGTAATTTGTTCGCTGAGTTATCATCCTCCACTTCTCCCTATGGCGAGTAGAGTACACCGATGAATTTTCCTATGCTTAACCTAACTTAGGTTTTTCAAAATTGTTACCCCCAAGTATTTAAAACTGTCTATCCCAACCAATGGACAGCTATTAAACTCATAAGCAGAAGAAATATCACTTATAGTTTTGTTAGTTATTCTAGCAAAAACGGTTTTCTGGGTATTTGTTTTAATTTTTCATTTTAAACATCAATCCTCGATACACCTAACGAGGCGTTTATAATGTTCGTGCCATTACCACGAAAAAAGAGAGCTTAGATGACGAGCGTCGGTGGTGAGGTTATAGTCCATCTCATGCGCATCACACAAGGCGACACACTTCTCCCACCGATGGATGAGCTGGCGGGTAGCCTGGTTGTATAAGTCCTCAATTTGGCTCTGAGGAAGTGTTACATCTCGACAATTACCTCGTCATCGTCCTGGAAACACTCGCAACGCAGTGGGTTCTTCGTCAGAGGAAGGAGGCAGAAGTTACAGGGGCGGGTGAATGGGGGGCAGAGGCAGAATTTCATAGCCTATAGCAGCCACATTCGTCACCGGTGCGCTGTAGTAGAGCAAACAGGCTCTTTGGTCTCGCGACGCTTGACGGCCCCCCTCAACCTAGTCAGAAGGTCCCGGTAGTGTTTGCCTATGACTGCTCGGTCCCTACGGGGCCAATCTGTCAGGAGCACACCACTGTAGTCCCAAAACGCTAATCGTAACCTTCTCAGAGGACAACTCATTCTTCACCTTTATTGGTGGTGTTGAATCCGCATGCCTCCACTGTTTGCTCTGTTTCTTTATCTTGGGATCGTAATCGAATACCCAACACTCATTCATGGTGATCAGGCGGTCACAGAAGTCGTCAGGGTTTCATAGACAAAAACGAAATATTTCCGTTACAGAGTTCTTTCATCGCTATTTTTGCGTTGGCTTGAGCAGTCGTGGAACCCGGCGAGCTGGGCGCTTCATCATGAACAAGTCATAGAGCATGAGCAAATCATTAAGCATTTTGAAAAAAAAAAAAGTTATATTGAACGCGCCGATATGAGAGGGATGTGGGCTTGCCCTACAATGCAAATTCTGTAGGTATTTTTGTTTTCACCGCCAATAACACGTATTTTATGAACGTCCCTCGTAAGCGTAAAGCGTGTTTCACATGCAGCGATTTTGACCCTAGAGCGGCGCGATTTCTGCCGTCGCGGCGCTCGTGCCGCTCAACCAGTCTTGTACACGTTACTAAAAAAAAGTAATCGATTACAATTACCATTACTCTTGGCTAAAAAGTATTCGATTAGATTACTTGATTACTCGACGGCAAAAGTAATTGGACATTACTTAAAGAAGTAATCGTTACTTTTCCGATTACTTTATTGTGTGAAGACAGATCTTTAGCGCTCATAACAATGAACTACTTTCAACCTATATTTCACATTTGCACAAGTATTGAAGGAGAAAAACTGGCTCCCTCTTCGTGGTCGTTGCACCTTCACAATGTGGACAAAAGCATAGAATTCGTTCGAAGACGTTTAACGATTTGGGCGTTCGCCAGTGTGTGTGTGTGTGTGTGTGGGGGGGGGGGGGGGGGAGCGGAGGGGGTTCTAGATCTTGTTAAGCTTGAGCAAGGGTTGTCGCTCAAAGTTTGCGTCGCTCATTTTATTATTCACATGTGGATGAGCTCGCATGTTATACAAAAGAGCAGCAGCTCCAGGATTTGAAACGGATTATGTGTAGTATCCATTAGCGGAAGAGATCGCCCCGACCACTTCTCAACTCGAAACATTGCTTGTCACAAAGACCACGTAGGGGAAAAGGGGAAATATTTCAACTGCCTTTGTTATATTTTGCATCCGCTTTAGACATTCTTCGGTTCTGGTTCTCCTATGGGCTGCGAGTAGGTACCCTAAGCCAGGGCCGTACCCAGAAAAAAATTTCGGGGGGGGTTTTCGGGGACAACGGCGGCCATTTTGAAAGTGTCTGTTCTCTTATTTTCGCCTATGAATCATGTGCATCGGTGGCATATAATGGAGAGTTACAGCAAACCGGAGAACCGGTCCCGGTTTGGTACCCGGTAGCCGACCGGCGCCACTGCGCGTGCGCAGAGGAGGAGATTAAAATCGACTGGCTGCCAGTGCACCGACCAGGGCCGTACCCAGAAAAAAATTTCGGGGGGGGGGTCAGAACCCCCTATCCCCCCCCCTGGTTACGGCCCTGCCCTAAGCAGGATTTTTTAATTTTTTTATTTCTATGTGTGTGTGCGTGAGGGGGCTAGTTTGAACGAAGGACTCACAAAGCTACATTCTGCTTTCTCAAACTTCGCCCTGAATGGCCTTTGTCACGCACTGTGGCTTCCCTGGGGCTTCCCACTCCCAGTCCCAGCTCGAAAAAAAAAAAAAAACGGACATTCCACAGAAACTGTACATAGAAAGAGATTGACCTCGTTTCCTACAGCTCAGCAAAAATCTTTCTTTTATCCGTTCTAAAAACAAAAGCATATTTTATTTTGGTCACTTCATAAAAAAAGGCGTGTGCCGGGGGGGGGGGGGGGGGGGGGGGGGGGGGTCCCATGGACAGATTGTAACGGTTACAAGTAATTTATTACTTCAAAAAGTAATCAGATTACTCTTGTGATTACTGCCTAATAAAAGTAATCAACTGATTACAAAATTACTCCAAAAAGTAATCGATTACAAGTGATTTGATTACTTGTAATGCGTACGGTACAAGTCTGCGCTCAACCGCTGCGGCTGGCCAGAGCGTCGCGACGGCAGAAATCGCGCCGCTCTAGGGCCAAAATCGCTGCATGTGAAACACACTTAACATATTACGATGGGGTTCGTCTCTTTATATAGGCATTTTAAAAAGCACCTTAGATTGTGTCAGTATCTAATCGATGCTTATTGTACTTTCTCATATGTTATATTATTGTTTCAATCCATGTAACCACCGTCATGCTTATGTCCTGAGATTAAATAAAAAATAAATAACTCGGCTGTTTGCTGCCGACGTTACTAGATTACCCCAGTTGTCAAACTCCGCGGAGGAGGGTACCCCGGTACCCCCTCACTCACGTCAGTCCGTCTCTTGTCGTTCGAAGAGCTATCTAGATTTTCGTTTGAAAACTGTGTGTTCCCTAGAGTTCGGTGAAACGTCATCTAGACGGCTGTGCTTCTAAACATGTATTTCATAGAACACACTGCAGGGTATCATATAGTAGCCGTCCGGCGAGTCGGAGGGGGGGGGGGGGGGGGGAGAGTAGAAGGGGAGTATGGCTAGTGCAAGCAGGGTCTATGATGAGTTCCGTAACTGAACGAATCTAATAACGTTGTTCACTACTAACAAGATGATCGCGGCTCGTCTGTCCTGTTGTTCTTACGCCGTTAGAAGAACGACGCTCTACACGTTTGGCTGTTATCATAACACATGATCTTCTGCTCTGTGCAGGGTCAATTTGTCGCTGCGAAACATCCCGGCCTTCGCGACCGCGTTCGCTTGCACCAATGTCACCGAGATGAATCCAACCAAGAAGTGCCGCTCCTGGTGACTCTTGGAGGACCTCGCGAACTTTGGGACAAGTTTTCACTGTTCTCGGAATTCCAGCTTCGTGGGCGTCGCAGCCAAACGTCGCTTGCCTGTGCACATGACCTGACCAAGACGTCCTGTTTTTGTCTAGCGTTATTTTAATAATAAGACAACTTGTGGGGTGTGTAAACTGTCGTATAGGTGTCTTCAGAGTCGCTTTGCATTTTTGGTCGTTCGCCGGCTGGGAACACACGGGGCGGGGTTAACTTTTCCTGCGTTCCGTGCTTTGGAGTTGTTGCTGACAGTTGTATTTGCCAGCGATTCCTCTTTTTATTGACGTATTTAGCGAGACGTTTTTTTTTTTATTACGACTTTCTTACATAGGCTTTAGTTTTGATTTCGTTTTGATAGAATTGAAAACAAAATGGGCCCGAACAAAAGGACGGAGGGCCTGAGCAAAATTATTGCAAAGGACGCTCTTTAATGGTTTTAGTGAATTGACACTCTGGTTTATTTTAATACAGGTTCAACGCATTTGTCATGTATTCGCATATTTCGCTATGTACTGCCAGGAGACTACTACGCAGACTCCTCCGTTAAGTCTCTTGAATCCACACTATTGTCGGCCTATAATATCACAAGGGATGTTGGCCTATCATTTCACAGAGTACCATTATCATGAAATCCGATATTGGGCAAGATTACTTTTGGGCTATACCTATGCTTTAAGGCTTCATCTTCTCTGGGGCGGCCTCAGCAGACAACTTCAATTAAATTGGTGAACAGATTAAGCGCATTCTGCCTAATATCCTGTTCCTCTCCTATCTCTTGTATTTCAGCTGCGATATCACGATTCGAGCAGAAACATGTGTATTTTACAAAATTACTTCGTATCTTCTATTCATACAATAGGTGAACTCACAAAAAGGCAGCAAGAACGGTTAAATATTTGCGAATGATTTTACAAAAAGGTAAATTATTTGTGATATGTGCGTCCTTTAATTTAGCATATGTCTAGCCTCCCTTCCTGCGTGGCTTGAGCACTGACCAGGGGGGCTATGTTGCACGTTTCGGACTCCCAGGAGACTAGGGAGAAGGAAGTGACGTCAACAACGCTCTTTGGATGTTGATAGGTGGAGTCGCTGATGACGCGATGCGTGGTGCTGCTAAGATACGTTCATTCGCACCAACGTCACTTCCTTCTCCCTAGTCGCCTGGGAGTCCAAAACGTGCAACATAGCCCCCCTGCTGCATGTTTTAAATAGCATAAATAACCTTTAAAATAAAGGCCAACGTTCCGCAACGCAAGTATTTCTCGAAGCATTTTCTCGTCTCTATGAGCTTGCACCAAGTAGGCACAAGCAGTCGACGAATCGGTGAATAGCAAGTAAACAGCGGTGCCAAATTTATATGGTACCATTTTGTCTGGGTTCTCGATTGGGACCATTTTGAACGGAACCATTCTGTCCCGATCCTGCCTTGGTCGCCATATGCTGTGGCGAATTACTGGCGCGTGTTTTACGATACGAGTCTGCGTATTTTAGCATCTGTGGTTTGGCATAAGTAGGCAGTGATCTATTCGCAGTGCCCTTAAAGTAAATACAGCTGTTTATTCATGACCGCATCCGGACATACACATCAGCCTTTTAGGAAGTTTTGAACAGCTCTTTAGGGCAGCAAGGACGTCGGGAAACGTCGGGCCAACTCGGAGTGTGGTTGGCGCATCTCATCCCTCGTGAATGAAGGGTTCGAGGAAGTTGACGGCCAGCTTGACTTCGTCGCTGTCGTCTGGAAGATCCTCTTCGTCCTCGCTGTCCTTGTGTTCGTCGCCGAAGACCGTCTCGTCCACCACGCCCGTCGTGTCCCAGACGAACAAGGTGCCGTCGTAAGAGCCCGTGAACAGTTTGCCCGTCACCACCTGGGGCGGAGGAAAAAGGACGAATTCTACGCTCAGCTCCTCTACCTACACGCCAACCCGCTGTTTACAAACAATGGCCCGGATATGCCCACATCAGGGCACTGCGCAAGTGCACAAAGCAGGTTTGCGTGAGTTGTGGCTTCTGTGCCGTGCTGACTAGCTTCGATCGATTTTCCTGCACCTCTTGCACCGGTGCAGAAAAGTGTGGGGCAGTCTACTTCCGGTATGTGTATTGAGATACGATCGGAAGTACACCGCCCTACACTTTTCTGCACCGGTGCAGGAAGTGCATGTAAATTGAACGAAGCTATAGATCCACTGCCGCGGCGTAAGGTGAAAGCCGCGTTTTTTTCTTTGAAAAAATATCCCCCCGGTTACTAACAAAGTGCAGCAGCTCTAGACCTTCCATCTTACAAAGAAACCCCACGTGGCTTCTTTCCTAACACCGTTTGCCAAAGAATTCGGCGCCCTTAGTGCATGCTACGTTAATCGAAAGGAAAAAATGCAGGGACCGCCAAGGAAGTTCGCTTTACTTTGTATCTGAGAAAAATCAAGAGCCTGTGGACAACTTTAATTACTGAAGGCTCTAAACCGTCGGCTGTCGAGCAACCCGTAAACCGATCAATCGACTGCTTTATTCAAGGCTGTGGGGTAAGAACTGCGAGATATTAAAGGGCTCTGAAGTTCTCTAGGCTGAGTGCGTCCCCTCCAGCGGAGAGCTGTAGTTCGGGTAACCGTACTACAACTCTCCGGACTAAAGCCGGACAAAATTCACCGGACACAAGCTCATAAATCAAATTCTCACACACACACAAAAAAGGAGTAGTTTGTACAGGTTCGGACATAAACTCATCGCTTTTCGTCGTATAACTGAACAGAAAATTGCCGGAGTTTGTATTTGGAAAAAGCTTGGGGTGAAGCAAGTCCGCGGACCAATATGTGAGCGGCGTTTCTCAACTTCCGGTTCGTTAGGAAATTTTGTTTAGCTCTTGAGAAACAATGACGATCGATTTGCCAAGCTGTCTAAGCATGAATCTGAAAACTACAGTCTGGAGGTTTCAGAACCATGCTTTCACAGGCGTGCAGCTCATGTTTTATCTTTTGTCCACAGTGAAACAAACTTTTCTAAGGGAGAGCATAATACAACCATTCACATCGCGGTACAACGCATGCGTAAGTCATGCAGTAGGAACTTCCAGATGTTGCTGTTTGTTTTTAAATAATTCGATTGATATGTCTGAACAGTCTGATGTGACGTGTGAAACAGGCAGGCTTGCGATCTGCGATTTTTCTTTTTTCGTCTGACTTGTAATTTGTCTGCATGTGCCGAATGCGGCAGATGACCGTAGGATATTTTTTTTTTTCAAAAAATTTGTTTATGGTTATTGTGTGTGTAAACGTAATTTAAATTTGCTTGGCGATTTTAACTGGGTTTGTTCAGCAAACGATAAGACCGGAGTCACCCCGTACAAAGGTGAACACAGTGGTATTGAATGACATCGTCAGCGAGGCTGGTCTTGCTGACGTGGCAGAATGCATTGGTCACGCGGAAACTGTACCGTATACTTATTTCCAAGGGGTCAGCCACGCTCGGCTGGACATATTTTACGTTTTATTAGACCTAGTACCAGTTCGCAGTGAATATTGAGTATTTGCGGTGTCCTTCAGCAACCATTGTTTAGTTTCTTTTGTGTTGGGTACCACGAATGAGCGACCAAAGTTTTCCTGGAAACTATGGTAATTGAACTGTCGACTCTTAGACGACGAGGGGTTTACACAATTGATACGAGGCCACTTGAACAGTTTAAAAGAAGGTTGAAGCAATTATGGGGTGCTGAATGGGAGGGTTTTAAACAAGAGTGTAAAAACATAGCCATAGAGCTTTTGCTATAAAGGCACTTCAGAGACAAGAGGAGACAATCATGGTAGAATTTGTCAAACGCTCATCAAAGAAGAAAGCAAGTAACCGGGCGAATTTAAAAACGTCATACGTGATTTGAAGAAAGGATGGAAGGCATGGAACAAGAGCGATATCACGGAGCTCTTATCAGAGCACGAGCAGAAAAGTTCGCCGTACTTGAAAGCCCGTAAAAAAGGAAGTTGGACATGAAAATGTTATGCGCGAAAGAGCACAATCAGTGAGATTCAAATGGAGGGAAAGATTACGAGCGACCAAAGAGACATTCAAAAAGCGTTTTTTAAGTAATATTCGAAATTGTTCGCGCACAGAATATGGCGGAATTTATTGAAGAGTTCGTAGTGCTTTTGCCGAAGCTAAAAAAGAAAACTAAAGAATTTCTTGAGACGCAGATCGCTATAACAGAAATAGACAAAGGGATAGACGAACTAAACCCTGGAAAGACACCTGGACTCGACGGGATTAGTTTAACTTTCTACGTATTAGACCTTTAGACATGAATTTACGCCCGTGCTACGCAATGTCTTCAACCAGGCTTATGAAGTGAAATGATTACTACCTTCCTTTAATAGGTCTCACACCGTGTTAATACTCAAGACCGAGAATACCGTTAAACTTCGTTCTGTTACATCCTATAGGGCAATTAGTTTAGCAAACGTAGATTACAAAGTACCAATGAAGATTTTGGCACGACGGCTATAAACAGTCATTACAGAAATAGTCGTTTCACACCAAACATGTGGAATTAAAAGACGGTAAATAATCACAACGAATATTCACACTGCTCGAAGTATACTAGAATGCTGTGACGCAACGCATGGTAAGGTAGCAGTGCTCCATATCGACTTGGAAAAAGCATTCGATCGCGAGTCACACGAATTTATGCAGGCAATATTGGAACTAGTGAACGTTGGGTCTGTAATCACAGAAGTGTTCGCATGGCGTACAAGGACTGCACGACAAGCTTAACTGTAAACAAGCTAGAGGGTAAACGCATTAGTGTGCTCTGGTCTGTGCGACAGGGCTGCCCTCTGTCCCCGCTTTTCTTTTGTATGTACATAGAGTCTTTCTGCTTGAACGCAGTAAAAATCAACGTCATTCGTGGTTTCGCACTGCACGCTTGCGAGGTGCGAGTGCTGGCCTACGCAGACCATATAGCGGTGTTCTGTGCAAAGAGAGAGAGCGTACGAGAGTTCACGGCATTATTGAAACGCTTTTGCAATAGAAACGGAAGAGCTGTAAACTGAAACAAGTGCATAGGTTTTTGGCACGGGGAGTGGGAGGCGAAACCATGTGCGTTTGAAAACGTCAAATGGGTCTAGTCTCCGCTATGGCGGTCTCAGGTGGTTCAATTGCGAGAAAAAGCCGAGAAGTGGAGGGGAAAAGACCTGTCGGTATTTGCCCGATCCACTATTTGCAATGTTTTCCTAATAAGTAAATTATGTGCTTCAGGCTTTGCAATGTTCCAGGGCGAATGTCCAAAAGCTGCATCGGGTGCTCCCGGTCTTCCTTTGGGGCTGTTCCTACGAGCGCACAAGCCGGACCAATCTTTTTCGCAGAGTGTCTGATGGAGGCTTGGCGCTATCCCATTTGTATTTGAAGCAGCTGGTAAACAGATTCGTTTTCTTACGCAAAGTGAAAGAGCCGTTTTTGTTGACATTTTGTCACGTGTGATTGTGTAATGTTTTACCTAAGTTCGTAGTGGCCTCAGAGTTTGGAGATGCTAGATATATTTTATGTTGTATGCGCGAAGTGGTGGGAGCGTACAGGTTGTTGAGAGCACGCTTTTCTTTGGAATACCTGAGTGAAGTCACTAGGAAAAAACTGTGCCAGGATCTTGTTGATGTTACCCTGCCGATTCCACTTTATAAAGCTCTGTATTCGACAGGTCCGAGACAAGATGTCCTGAAGCGTGTAAGAATAATGTCCGTCCCAGGGGACGTTCTTTTTTAAGCTGCACGCAGGTACTCTGCCCGTTTAAACCTGGTTTATTGAGAGGGGTATGTTTGTAGCGTGGGGTGATAACTGTTTCTTCTGTAAGAAACCAGAGACTGTTGAACATGTCCTTTTTTGGACTGTTGGGACAGTATATATTTCTGGGATGTGTTACAGCTCACTCTAAAAAAGGATTTTCCGCTGGACCCCCATGGCATCCGGTTTCTAACCGTTGAAAACAAGAATAGTGTGCCTTTTGATCTTGTCATGTTGTTCGGCCTTCACAGCATATGGCGATGTCGCATGGCGGGCCGTCATGCGCATGTTGACACAAGGCCTGAGGGGGAATACTTTTTTTTAAGTCGCTTCGTTATGTTGTTGAAATTTGGATGATTCGTTCCAATGTCCCGGAGTGAATGCCGACAATGGGTATTCACTCCCGTCAGTCGGTAAGCGTCATAGCCGCGTCCCACTAGAGCGACAGACAGCGACAAACGACAGCGACACACGACAACGAGCGACAGACGACACCGACAGACAGCCTGTTTGTCGAAGTCCGCCGTCCCACTTGGCGGACACGACGCAGAACACAGAGACAAGGAAACTTGTTTCCTAGTGGGACTGGAGTTGTCAACAAAACACTTCGAAATACACAGACAAACTGAGTCTGGCGACGCGGTTTTCGTGTTTTGCTCTTTGGGCATAAAACGCGCCGACAAACACGGTGTAAGAGGAGACGATTACTTTATTTCTTGATTAAAGCATTCACTTGTCTTTATTTGCCGTTGGCGACCTTCCGCAAACAGTCGTGACAATCGACACCAAGCTTTTTTCGAGTTAGAATAACCGAATCGTTCCTTTTTTGAGTCGTTCGAGGAATTCTAGGTGAGCGCCACGGAACTTCACGCCGATTTCGAGGATGTTTATAACCTCGTATCCGAATGATCAAGGGCAGGCGTTTTTTTGGAGGACAATAAGGCATCCCGATTATCACAGAACGTGATGACAAGTCTCTCGTCTGCCGGAATGGCTTGCCGCGGAACGTGGTGTCCTACTTCGTGTTGAGAGGTCTTACTTTGGTTAGTCCTCGAACATGAGTGGGTATCCATCCTGATGCAGGGCCGTAGACCTCGGCGTCTTGAGGCAC